TCTGCCTCAGGTCCCTGGATCAAACTCTAGGGGATCCGGGTCCTCGGCAAAGAGACAGAGCCAGATGGAGAGACCCTCCATCCAGTACTTCACTGTCCAAGTGCCGTGACAGCTGCGGCTGGACCAGGCCAAAGCCAGGAACCGGGAACTCATTCCTGTCTAAGGCTGTTTGTCCCACAACTGCATTCTGAGAGAGAGACAGACAGACAGACAGAGATTTACGTATTTATTTGAGGTGCTGATGTTGTAGAGTAGCAGGTAAATCCCCCACCTGTGACGTTGGCATCTCATATGGACGCCTGTTTGAGTCCCAGCTGCTCCACTTCCAATCCAGCTCCCCGCTAATGTGCTGGGAACGAAACAGAGGATGGCCCAAGTGCTTGGACCCCAGTACCCATGTGGGAGACGCAGATGGCACTCATAGCCCCTGGCTTTGGCCTGGTCCAGCCTGGTCATTGTAGCCATGTGGGGAGTGAACCAGCAGATGGAAGATCTCTCTCCCCTTCCTGCTCCCCCTCCCCTCCCCCTCCCCTCCTCTTTCCCTCCCCCTCCCCCTCCCCCTCCCCCTCTCCCTCTCCCTCTCCCTTTCTCTCTGTAACTCTGCCCTACAAATAAATAAATCAGTCTTTTAAGGCAGAGTTAACAGAGAGAGAGGGACACAAAGAGAGATTTCCCATCCCATTGGTTCACTCCCCAAATAGTCACAATGGCCAGGGCTGGGCCAGGCCAAAGCCAAGATGCCAGACCTCCCAAGTGGGTGGCGGAGACCCAAGCACCTGGGCTGTCCTCCGCTGCTTTCCCAGGCACGTTAGGGATCTGGATGGGGAAGCGGGCAGCTGGGACTTGAACCTGTACTCACATGGGATGGCAACATCGCAGGTGGCAGCCTCACCCACTGCACCACAGCACCGGCCCCGACATCTGCATTCTTAACCGCCAAGCCCAGGCGTGTTCGTGGTAGGACTGCTGGGAAGGGGTTTCCAGAAAAGAGATGCAGAAGCTGGAATCCCAGCCCTGCCCCCTGCAGAGGGACCCGAGGGCGAGTGGCTTCACCGCTGTGGCCTCGGCGCTCACACACGCGGCGGGAGCTGCAGCAGGGATGGGGTACCTGTTCTTGGCCCCTTTACAGCGGCTTCCCCTTGTCCTCTCTTTCACTATCCTTGGTTCCAGTCACCCGCCGTCAACCTCTACCCAAAAACATTAAACAGAAAATTCTAGAAATAAGCTAAGTTTGAAGTTGCTCGCAGTCTGACTTAGCCAGATGACATCTGGTTCCGTCCTGCCGGGAACGTGAGCCACCCCTTTGCCCAGCGTACCCGTGCTGCGTGTCCTGCCCACCCACGGGTCACTCGGCTGCTGTCATGGTTACCAGAGGGGCCGTGCTGGTACCACGGTGCTGGTATTCAGTTGCGTATCGTACTTACTGATGGCCCCGAAGCACAAGAGTAGTGAACGCGGGTCCTGCGGGCAGTCCCACAGGGCACGCAGCAGAAAGCATGGTGCAGACGTATGGGCTCAGTACCGTCCACTCGGCAGATGTCCACCTGGGGCCTTGGAGAGTCCCCTCCGCCCAGGATAAGGAAGCATTACTGTTTGTGTGTGTGTGATACACTTTATCAAAGCAGGATATACGTATGCAGATGGTCTGCACTGTATGCTTTTCTTTTCTTTTCTTCTTTTTTTATTTGAAAGGCAGAGTTAGAGATAGGCAGAAGGAGGGAGGGAAGGAATGAGGGAGAGAGAGAGAGAGAAACAGAGAGAAGGAGAGAGAGAGAGAGGTCTTCTATTCACTGGTTCACTCCCCAAGTGGCCATATCGGCCAGAGCTGCGCTGATCCAAAGCCAGGAGCCAGGAGCTTCTTCCAGGTCTCCCACATGGGTACAGGGGCCCAAGCACTTGGGCCATCTTCCACTGCTTTCCCAGGCCACAGCAGAGAGCTGGATCAGAAGTGGAGCAGCCGGAACTCTAACCAGCGCCCAAATGGGATGCCAGCACTGCAGGTGGTGGCTTTACCCACTACCCTTTGCACCAGCCCCAACCTTGTATTCAAAGCAATCCAAGTACATGTACCTGACTTCAAATCCAAGTATCGGGGAGAAGTCCTCATTGGCAGCAGCTATGCCCACACGGTCTGCTTCGGCTGGCTCGAACTTCCACTGTGCCTCCTGAATCCAACGCAGGAAGGCTGAGTCGAGAAAAACCAGAAAACGTAGACAAAGCAAAAAGAAAATGGAAGTAACTGAAGTAAAGTGTTAAATCTCACTTCTTGCTGGAGAGAGTCGTCTTCAGATGATGCAGTCAGGCCACGCCCTCCTCCCCGCCACCCCAGCCCCCCTTGCCCACCATAGGTCCTCATTATAGCTTTTCTATAGCTCTACCCAAGGGAACATAACACATCCTCGTTGAATAACTAGGTGCGGTGAGTGGCAGGTCCTGGCTTCTTGGAGTGAGACCCAGGACGTCTGAAGGGCGTGGTGGTGACTTCAGTGCCCGGGAAGGCGAGGAGGGGTCGTGCAGGGCTGAGCTGCTGGGCCTACTGCTTGTTCTGGTCCTGGACGAGGCTGGAGCCGAGCGGGAACGGTGCGCTGCCACCTCTCTGGAGGGAGACTCACCCGCTGCCAGTGCCGTCAGCCAAACTGAGCGCTGCGATGGAGGGGCAGGCGGCTGGCTGTCTGGCCCCAGCTTCTTATCTTGTCAAGGCCCAGGGACGCAGAGCCTGTGGGCTTGGCACTGCTGGCCAGCCACGCTCGGAGCAGCGGCGTTCAGATTGCACGGTCGGGAAGGAGGGTTCTGGGCCTTGGGCTTCTTTTCTGCTTGGTGCATTTAGGACCCTCCCACCTGACCGTGACACACACACACCCACCCCCCAGGAGAGTTCTGGCCCAGAGCCGGTGGGGAAGATATGGCTGTCTCTACGGTTAGACTGAAGCCCCTTTCCCCCCGTGTCTGGTCCATGCCAGTCCCCTGTTTATGTGGAAAGGGAAAAGGATTTACAGCTAAGTGTTCTCCCCATTAGCTCCTGCGATGGCAGGCAGAGCAGGGGGCCTGCGGGGCAGCTGCAGGGAACAGAGGCTGAGCCTAAACCTTCTGATGGACGTGGAAGGGGACAGGAAGCCCTCGGAGCCCAGGGCCCGTGGGTAACCCAAGGTCACACGCTCTGGGCCAGGAGCAGGTGACTGAGGGAGCAGCCACTGGGAGGCATGGACCAGGGAAGCCAGGGCCAGCCCCACCTAAAACAGCATGTGGCATTTGGTTGGCCTTAGTGTCACCGTCCCCAGGGAGCCAGGAGTCCCACAGACTTAGATCCCAGGAAGCATCTGTGCTTGGATGGTGGGAAGACCCAGAGCCTTCCATGCAGCGGGACTTAAACCCGGAAGTCAGTGTTCAAATTTCCAGGCCAGGCACGGGGTCCTGCCAGCATCAGTGGCCCTGTCTGTTCAGTGGCTCGTACCAACTCACTTGTTCGTTCATTCATTCATTCATTCATTCACGTGTTCAGCCTGTCTCTGTTGAGCGCCTTCTGTGTGCCTGGTGCTAGGGTGACAGTGATGAAGTGGAGGTCACGGTGCAGCAAGGAAAATGGAGACAAAGAACCTCAGAAACCAATGCCGGCCGGCGCCGCGGCTCACTAGGCTAATCCTCCGCTTTGCGGCGCCGGCACACCAGGTTCTAGTCCCGGTTGGGGCGCCAGTTCTGTCCCGGTTGCCCCTCTTCCAGGCCAGCTCTCTGCTGTGGCCAGGGAGTGCAGTGGAGGATGGCCCAAGTACTTGGGCCCTGCACCCCATGGGAGACCAGGATAAGTACCTGGCTCCTGCCATCGGATCAGCGGAGTGCGCTGGCCGCAGCGCGCTGGCCGCGGCGGCCATTGGAGGGTGAACCAACGGCAAAGGAAGACCTTTCTCTCTGTCTCTCTCTCTCACTGTCCACTCTGCCTGTCAAAAAAAAAAAAAAAAAAAAAAAAAGAAACCAGTGCCAGGCTGGCTGTGAAGCGCTGGAGACTGGGCCCAGCCCAGGGACCAGGCACAGTCTCCCTGGATGTGTGGCCCTAGCTCCAATCCCAAAGACAAGCGAGAGGCCAGGAGGCCAGGCAGGCAGGGGAGGGTATTCCAGGGGCATTCAGCCTGTACACTGCACAATAGACTCCCAGCCAGAGACAAGAGGTTGGGTTTATTTTACTTTGGGAGATGAACTGTACATGCGGCAAAACGTGTCAACCTCTGGTGAGCATGTGGCTGGGAGGTTAAGCTGCTGCTCTGGGACACCGCGCATGTCAGAGGACCCGCGCTGGAGTCACAGTTCTGCTTCCGTCCCACCTCCCTGCTAACACGCACCCTGGGAGGCAGCAGGCGCCGGCTCAGGTTCTTGGGTCCCTGCCACCCACGTGGGAGAGCCAGGTGGCTTCAGGCTGCTCAGGCGTTGGAGAGTGAAACCGTAGCTGGGCGACCTCTCCCTGCCTGTCTCTCTGTCTCTCCCTTTCTCCCTCTCTGCCTTTCCAATAAAAATGAAAATAAAAATGTTTAAACATCAGTCTCGCTCTTTGCCTTTCAAATAAAAATGAGAAAAAGACAAGTAAAATTTCTTGAAATGCAGAAACCTTAGGCCCTCTGATGAGTTTTAAGAACTGCACACACACAAGACAACAGCACCTCTCACCAGCCAGACCGCTGTCAGACCGCCTTCCCCCGGTCAACTCCCTGGCCCTCTCCACGCCAGGGAGCCGGGTGTGAATGGGGATTTCCGTGTGGTGCTGAGGCCAGGCTGGGGGCGGTGGGGGCGGGGTTTAGATCCAACCCCACGGCTGTCTGCCCGGGACTCTGACAGCTTCCTCGTCTGTCAAACAGGGTTCAGTGCACCTGCTTCTCAGGGCTGGGTGGTAGGGACCCTGGGAGACATCCTCCCCCTCCCCGCTCCAGCGTGGCCCCGGGGGTGGGGGCAGAGGTGGCGGTGGGCGAAGGGCTGGCTCCTGCTGGCACCTCACAGCACTGCTCTCCTGTCCCCAGGGATGTGCCTGCAGGCATTCGTGGAAGCCTTCTTCTTCCTGGCCCAGCGCAAGTTCAAGCTGCTGCCCCTCCACGAGCAGGTGGCCTCGCTGATCGACCTGTGCGAATACCACCTGTCCATGCTGGACGAAAAGCGCCTGGCCAGCAGCCGGGGCGGCCTGCACCCCCAGGGCGGCCCTCCTGGGGCAGGTTCCCCGCAGCTGGCCGGGGGCAACCCCCCACCCCGCACCTGCGGGGCCAACAGGCTCGGCCATCCCAGACACGCTCTGTCCTGAGGGGCCCACCCCAGCCCCCAGAAGGCGAGAGGGCGCCCTCCAGGACTCCCTGCCTGCGGAGGGTCGGCGGAATTCCCGAGTGAGACGCCCCCGTGCTCCGCGGCGCTGCACCCTGCTGGCCTCCCGCGACGCATCCCTGGTCACACGACCTGTGAAACGTGACAGACGGGCACCTTCTGTTCTGGGCTCACGGGCCGCACCCACTGAGGGCAGCGCTGCTGTGTTCGAGGGTGGGGCACTCACGACCCCCACGAGTCCAGATCTGCGGGCCGGAAGTGGAGCCTCAGTGGGGCGGGGCCGCTGGGCATGGCTGCTTCTGGCCCGGGAGTACCACGTGCCCACCACCACCACCACCAAGAAGGCAGCGCGCACCTCCCAGCCCAATCACCTGCTACCTGGGTGTAGTGAACAGATTAGCCTCGTTTATTTCATTAGCTTGCCTAGTGCTGCAATGTTCGGTTTGTTGCTAATTAAGAAATAATTAAGAAGTAACTAATTAAGTAATGAGGCTCCCAGAGCCTCAGAGCTGACAGGGAGCCTCAAAGGTCACTTTGTTAGATTTTGTTTGACCTTGACCCCGAAGCAGGGTTGCCACTTCTGGCCTCCCTGACCAGGTGGTCCTGTGGCCCCTGGATGAGCTCCTGCATGGGAGGGGCAGCCCGGGGATGAGGGACAGGGCTCCCTAGGGGAGGACAGAGACCTGGGGAGGCAGCAGGGTGGGCAGGAGTGGGCCTTGTCTGAAGCCCAGGATCCAGGAGCCCCGTTCCTTGTCTCTGTCTGTGCCCCAGGCCTATGCCCTCAGAGGTACCATGGGCCTTCCAAAGCCACGCCCTCCAGGACACTAGGGTAGAAGGGTCAGGGTGGCCTTTTCCCAGAGGGCTCCTTTAGGGGCTGCCATGAGTCCGGGGGTCCCCACGCTCTGAGTGAGGAAGCAGCTGCACCGTCCGTGCCTGGCACACAGCGGGAGGCAGAATGTGCCTGCAGGTGCAGGGTGGGGGCCTGGGGCGTGTTCCCCCATCTTCCTTCTCCTGCATCTCGTCTTCTCTTCCTTCCTTCTGACGTCCTGTCCTGTCTGCCCGTCCAAGTCCTCTTCACCCAGACCGATGGGTGCAGTTGGTTCCAGGCCCTTGTGCCCAGTAGATGCTCAAAAAGCATCTTGTTGAAATGAATTGCTTAGATTTGCAAAGAGGAGGTTGCTAGCCCCAGCGCTCCCCAAAGGTTGACCAGTTGTTTTACAGTCAGGGTGGGGGGCTCTGTTAACCCTTGCCTGACCTCCTTCCTGCTAGAACCCCACTCTCTCAAGCAGTAAACCCTTCTCCTTGCAGCGTGACCACGTGCAGTGTCCCTGCCACTCCATTTCTGTCCCTGCTGCTGCTTCCTCTTGCTTCCAGGGAGCGGGGCGGAGCCCACAGGCCGTGGCCCTTCCCAGAGGAGGGGGCCTGGAGCCCAGCCCTGCAGCGGCCACACCAGAGACGGCAGACACCTGTAAATGACTTTTGTTCTCCCAAGCTGCACGCAGGAGTGGCTGCCGCAGGTGGGAGGGGCAGGGTGCGCCTCCGGATGTGTATCGGGTGCTTTTCCATGTGGGGTGTTTCAAGGCGTCATCAGCCCGGTTCTCCTGTCGCCTTGGACAGTTGGATCATGCTATTCCTATTTTCAGATGAAGAATAAAAGGCCTTGTAAGGCCACACGGTCAAGACATGGTCCAGGTCTGTGTGTCGACTCCATGTCCCTCGGTGAGTGGGAATCCAGCTCCAAACACAGAGCCCTGGCAGGTCCACCCTTCTCCGGGACAGCCTGGGGTCTCCCCGGCCCGGCTCACTGGCAACCTGTGGCCTGAGCAACCAGTGGTCCCAGGCAGTCCACTGTGAGAAGCAGAGTTTGAAGCCCCCCAACCGTGCCTCCTCTTCCAGGCCCCTTCGGCAGAACAAATGGAGTCCACTGTGACAGGCCAGGGGCTGTGTCTCAGCGGGCAGCAGTGGGAGCCTTCTGACCGAGCTCAACTCGACGGCCTTTCTCCACGTCGGTCTTCAGACATTGGCAAGCTGGTCTAAGAAGTTTAGCAGGTGATGTGGGTATGCACTTGCCAAAGACAAATGTCGCGTGCAGGCCTAAAACCAACCAAGCACACTACGTGGAGGGTGGGGGTGGGTCAAGGTGTTGGCTCTCAGCTGCATGTTTGGGGTGATAAGAAAACCGTCAGGTGTCCGGTGGGGAAGGTCCTTGCCTGCCTGGTGCCGGCATTGGACGGCAGTCGCCGGCAGTTACGAGTCCCTCCGTCCTGGAAGGAGCCCCTCCTTGCAGATAAGATCCCCCGGGAAGCCCTGGGAGGACATGGGTGCTGGGCAGTGGTTGGTACGGGAACAAGTTCAAGGCTGCTCCACCACCAGAGCCAGCCACAAGCCACTCCCCTACCTAGTTCCCCCTGGCAGGTGGCCCTGTGTCTGTTCCTGGACCTGGGCACTCAGGCTACCAGGTGTGATGGATGGGAGGAAACCCAGCCAGGGGCCCGGGGTAGAGCTAAGGGTCTCCCAGCTTCACTGTGGGTCGGACCTATCCCTTAGTCACAGGGGTGGGAGACATTTGTAACACCATCCGCGGGCCATACAAAATTATCAGCTTAAAAATTAGCCTGCTACAGATTTACTGAAGTTCGAATCCCACCTGCGGTTGTCATGGCAGGGCCTGACCAAATGGTTTTGTGGGCCTTATACGGCCTGAGGGCTCGACATCCAGGATGACAGGTCCCCAGGGCAACCGGAGAGGGAACCTTCCAGAAAACAGAGCAGGTCAACCAGCCTGGGCCCACCTGCCCCCTTCTGGACGCCCCCGGGGCAACTCCCCTGCCCATCCTTTGACCGCCCATGACCTTGCCCACCACCTTCCTTCCAGCCTCCCCAGGGGCAGCCCCAGGTTCCCTGCTGTGAAGAGCAGGAGCTTTGTCTGCAGGGGCGTGGCCAGAATGGAGCCTGTGAAGGGCCTACACAGGAGATTTAACACAGCTGTTGGCCAGTGCCTTCCTGTGGGCAGAAGCAAGGCCTCCTGGGGACAGGAGCCCCCCCTCCCCAAACAAGCCTCCCAGGGCCTCTGCCCACCCTCCCTAGCTCTGACCTCATCGCGTGTGGTTTGGGCTTCACCATCCCCCGGCCCTCGCTCCTCCCCACTCCCTCCCCCTCCCTCCTCCCACAGCCTGGAGCTGGCACTCCACCCGACAGCTTAGGATTTCTCTCCCATTTCATGACTAATGCCCTCTGCCCCTTGGCCCCATCACCAAGGACGGGACCCGCGACACTTGGCACGTGAGCAGCTTGGCACGCGTAGCTCAGAGATGATGACCTTGCCGGTCAGGAAGCTCCCTCCTCGCACCGCCCTGTGCGGTAGTCAAAAACCCACCTCGCCAGGTGGACGTTTTTGCGGGATGGAGGTGAGAGACTTCCCCATGTGCTGGGTTGAATTCCGCCCCACCCCCACCACGTGTCTTCTGTTCCCCAGGCACCAAGGAGTCCATCTCCAGAAACCAGAAGTCGTGATTTTGGTGTGACTGGGAGACCACACGCACCCTCGTACACACACTCACTGATGAGTTCCTTGTTCCTAGCGCTTTGGCTCTGAGTCTCACTTGAGAGCAGAGTGGGGGGGGGGGTCTCTGCACCCTGGGGCAGCTTAGCCTCACCGGGAGGCTCCTGGGACATACCCCCTCCAACAGGAAAGTGTGTGCTCAGAGTCCAGCTAGGTCTGCCCCGCGCCCTGGCTCCCCAAGGCCCCTCCGGGACAGTGGCAGCAGCGGGGACATCTTCCCTGCGGTGTCTCTCGCGTCCCAGTGGAAAGCCCACAGGAGGCCCAGTCTGTATGTGCTCTGTGGGGCAATCATGAACTAGGACCTCTCTCTCTGATCCCATGGGAGGCCAAGGGCTCGATGAGGGGCCGCCCCTCCCCCAGAAGCATCCCCGGAAGTGCCCGTAGGTCTCAATACGCACAACAGACAGAAGCCACCTGGAGCAGCCCCGACAGGGCTCCTGGAAGCCTGAGAGGCCCCACGTGCACAAGGCCTCCCCCCTCCCGCCTCTTAAAAGCCTTTAAGGATGCTTTATTAAATTTTCATGGCGCACGACGTCAAGGGTCCATGCCTTGGCCCCAGTTGTCTTGGTAACTTCGTAAAATGCAATAATAAAACGAAGCTGAGTGTTGCTAAACGCAGGCTCCTTGTATAAACGGCTGCAAAGTCTGGACAGTCTCCTCTGCTGCATCACTTTCGACAGCAAATCCACTGGGGGTGGACAAGGCCTTGTTCATGTGGCCGGCCGGCGAGACAAGGGCACCTTTTAATTTTTTCTCCCACAGTGCTTCATGCTCGCCGGTGAGCATGACCTCAAGGATGGTGAGATCCTGGGTGGGGAGGCAGAGGGGGCCGTTTGGAGAATTTTCCAGCCCTTGATCTGCTGGGGGTGGGGGGCGTCTCTGCTAGGGAGGGAGGGACTTGTCCCGAGAGTGTGGCCACCTGCCACAGACACCTGCCTTAGGAGAGCAGGCGGCCCCCGGCGGCTCTGGGTGCGAAGCCGTGACTGTGTGATTCAAGACTCAGCAGGTGTGCATGGCAGGTGTCACTCGCATGGGGGAGGCTCCAGGCAGGGCTCCCCACCCCCACCCCCACCCCCACCCCCAAGGACTGAACTGCCGTGGCTGTCCCTGGTGCTGCCAGTGCCACTGGAAGCCCTGGCCCCTGGCACAGAGGGCCTCACCCCTCCTGGCACCAGCACCAGTCCCCCACCCCCACCCCCACCCCAGCGAGGGCAGCATATGTTCGCTCCCAGTATTTCTCAGACTCTGGCCCACCCGGTGGGAGTGACAAGCAGATGGTCTTGAGCTAAAAATAAAGTGAGACCCCCAGCTCCCTGGAAGCCACCTCGGTCCAGGGAAGCAGAGAAATGCCAGCGCTCCCCGCCCCCCCCCCCCCGCCCCCTCCGCCCCGCCATGCTTCTCTGGATGCCTTGGAGGGAAACTCTCAGGTCCCATGCATGCCCCCTGCTCCTAGACCCCCACCCCGTCACACCCGCCACCAGGATGTAGCTCGACTCCCCACCGGCTTCAGGGTCACCAACCAACAGGGCCGCATGTGCAGCCATGAAGGCCATGCGCTGCCCGGGACAGCGCCGCACCTGGCCTGACCTCAAGCTCCCACCCTTTCCGTCTTCCCCAAACGCCCCTTCCTCACGCTTCTCCTCTCCCCCCCCCCCCCCCCCCCCCCCCCCCCCCCCCGCCAGGGCCCTCCTCCCTGTGGTCCTGGGCAGCCCTTGCTGGGTGCTCAGCCAGGGGCCACCCTCTCTGCAAGGCCCACCCTGCTCTCGCTCTGGAAGACTGGCTCCCCTCCCCCAGGGTGTCTGGATCCCACCCCCAGCACAGAGGCAGCGCCCAGGACTGTGTGTGAATGAATGAATGAATAAATGAGTGAGTAAAGGGCAGGCTGAAGGTCGAGACCCGGCTCAACCCAGAAGGCTGTTCTTCCACACAAATGTCCCTCCCAGCCGTGGGGGTCCACCTGGCCCGTGGGCAGCCCGTGGGTGGCCCATGGGCCTCTGCCCCTTTCAGATTGTACATGAAGACCTCCCAGGGGGCAGGGGCTCTTTCCTCCCCGAATGCCACCCAAGGGTGTCAGAGGAGGACCTGGAGGCACCAAGGCATCTGCCATGGAGCTGTCCCAGGCGGGCGGGACCCAGGGACTCTTCCTGGGCTGCAGCGCTGCCTTCTCGAATGGGGTGGCGGCCACGGCTCTCCTCTCAGCACTGTCACCTGCTGCTCCGCCCACCTCCGCACCACCTTCCCCGTGCATCCCACACCTGCATCCTGGGATACCTGAGCAGGTGCAAGGCCCATGGTGATGCATGCTCTCCCTCCTGGATTCCCAGCCCCTGCTGGCCCCTCGGGTCTCACTCTCGCAGCGCCTCCCTGCGTGCAGAGCCTCTGCAGCGCTCCCTCCCCGCCCTCTGACTTGCCTGGACCTGCTCAGCCGCTGCGCTTTCCCCCATTCAGTAAATACCGAGCACCTGGTGCCAGCACAGCCCAGCCCCTGGTGAGAGGACCCTCAGGCACAACCAGCACACCTGCCTGGAGTCTAGGGGCAGGGAAAGGGGGGAGCCCTGGGGACATGGGGGGCGGGACAGAGGGGCTGAGTGTTTGGCGGCCGACACCATCCGTGCCATGGGTTGTTTTTAAAGATGCTGGCGCTCAAAGTCTGTGCAGCAAACACACATGCACGCACGCACACACACACACGTACATGCATTTTGAATGTCCCAGCCTCAGGTCAGCTTTTGCAGCGAATGCCTCTACTTAAGTTGATTCCTTTTTAGTTTCTATGACTTAAACACTGCTGAAGAAAAAAATAGGGATTTGTTGTTTCCATTTGTTTGAATGAGCAGTGTAGGTGAACACCTTTCGTTTATTTATTTCCACGTGTATGAGGGTGCTTCAAAAGGTTTATAGAGGAGCCGGCGTTGTGGCTCGCTGGGTTAAGCCATGGCCTGTGACACTGGCATCCTGTATGGGCACCAGTCTGAGTCCTGGCTGCTCCATTTCTGATCCAGCTCTCTGCTATGGCCTGGGAAAAGCAATAGAAGATGGCCCAAGTGTCTAAGCCCCTGCACCCGCGTGGGAGACCCGGAAGAAGCTCCTGGCTCCTGGCTTCAGCCTGGCCCAGCCCAG